TGTAATAAAGAGACCTCTGTTGTTGTGATATTCTGTCTTCCTGTGATACCAGCACTGTTTCCTAGGACTGGTATCGATTAACAGGTTAATTTGGAGCGTCATGGGCTAGTACCGTTCGGGGCTAGTTCGGGGCGTGACAATTATATGAAGTTATAGAAGAATATATTTTGCTATTGAGACTTAACAATTACACTTGATATAATTGTGTTTTATGATGAATTGTTGACTGCTGAACTTGAGAATTGGACTTGACAAAAGTTTGAAGCTCAGTTTGAGGGGTTTCTGTATTTCGATAAATTTTCGTTACCGTATCCGTGCCAGTTCATTTTCGCTCCATTTTCGGTTTCGATAATATTCGTTTTCGGGGTTTCCGATTCCGATTTTGGAATAAATATGAAAACGAAAACGATAAAGGTTGTTTCCGTCCATTTCCGTACCATTTTCACCCCTAAATATAACGGTATCCCTGGGAGTATGTACGAGCATGTGTGAAGATCGACATGAAATCATGCTAACATGTCCTAGGAATCGTGTTGTGTAGTACGAAGAATCATATGATCTGGGCAACGACGTACATGATATCCACATGGACTCGGCGAGTTTCATTCACTTGGTATCCACATCAAACAGAGTCTCTTTCGTAGTTCACTCTCGAGTCGTGACTTCGCAAAGAATATTATGCATGACGGGAATCGGATACGGATGACGTACCATAGTTTTGACAAAACATCTTCAATTTTTAAATCGCGGGCGAGGGCGATGCAGTCCCAAGCGAACATGCGGCAAGGGCAAATCACACGCGCGAGGGCGTCGCGGGCCCAATCGAGCATGTGGAAAAATCGCGTGCGCGAGGACGTTGCAGGCCTAATTGCGGCGGCACGCAAATGCGCATGTGGAAAACGGACTCAGGCGCGGGCCTGATTGCTGCGTGCGGCAAGGGGTGCGTGAAAATGTGCGGGCCCAATTAATTCGAGCGTGTCTTAGATAAGGACACTCTAGCGTAAGAAAAAGAAAAGAATTTGACAGAAATATAAAAATGAAACCAATTCAAACATGGATGGCATACCAAAATTCTAGCGGAAACATTTTTAATTTTTATAATAGTAGAGATTATGAGAAAATATAAATATAGAAAGAGTAGAGAAGAATTTTATTTTTAAATCACCAAGAGAAGAGAATATGGTTGCCATTGTTTTTCGTCGCTTTTCATGCTACGTTTCTTGAGCTGAGGCTGATCTGACAGCAAAATACATGCAAGAAATTATTTATTTGGTTAGCTTCTTGTGCACTTATTTGTTCTTCACCTTCTTGAGATCTTTTAGGAGCTCTGCACTCTAAACCAAAATTTTGGTTAGCTTCTTATGGGGTTATTTGTTCGTTCTTCACCAATTGAGATCTTTTAGGAGCTCTGCACTCTAAACCAAAATTGCGCTAAACTTCACTGCATTTTCATATGCTGTTTGTTGACTTCATCCCTTATGTTGATACTGATATAGTTCTGCAGAAGGTACTGAAAGTAGAATTTGTTTCTACCTGAATCTCTGGATGGATGGGAAATTTTGTGTTTTTGTATTGATATGATTATGTCAGTATCAAATCAGGATTTCTCAAGATATAATATATCCATCTAAAATGTGTTAGTCTAACAAGATCGATGTTGAGGGCCGAAAGTCACTGAGATCAGTGCATGTACTAAAACTCTTGGCTGTTTGTGCAAGGGAGAGAGCAATCTAGCATATCTCGGAGACGACCGCACAGGTTACAGTGGGATCGCGCTATTGCGAATTGGTACACGAGGGGTGATTATAGACGAATAACACCACAACGCAAAAATAGCATATGACGGATGAAGGAACGAACAAATACGACACCGATCAAGATGTGATGGAGACGGATGCCATAAACGTTATGAATCTTTTAAGTAGGTAAAGATTTGGGGAACTTAAATTAACAAGTGTATGCAATTTATTGTCATAAAGTTTTTTGAGTCGTAAAAGGACATATATGTATTCTATAAACTCGTTTATTTATGAGTAAAGTGAAAGGTCGGTCCCTAAACTTGTTAGCCTTTCTAGATTTCCATAATTTTAAAATGCAGATTTAGGTCACAAAATTTAAAGTATGTCATTTTGGTTAGGTCTGTAAAAAGCTCGAGGCTTGCGAGCTACTCGAGCTCGACTTGTCCTAGGCTCGATTCGAGCTTAACAATATATGTGTTTTTTTAATCTTTTATATAATAGGTTAGTTGGGTCCATGCCGATATAAATCTCATCGTTTTGAAATCTACCAATACTATTCGCATAATGAGAACCATGTCTCAAAAAAACATCCAAAATCAGATCCATGCCACCCGCCTGATACGTGTGAAACACATTTTGAGGCCCTCACAGATCTTGACGAGCGCGGTAAAGCAAATCGGGCGAGTCAGGCGACGAGCTTGATCGACCACACCGAGATCATCATCAAGGGCGTCAACATCTACAGCACCTTCGGCACCGTCCATTGCGATGTCTATGAAAGCCACGCCGCCCTCCATGTCTATGAAGTCGATGGCCGAGCAGATCCACGCTGCCCTTCGTCCTCCACCACCAAGATCTTGGCCTCTTCCCACATCAGTCCGGGGAGTTGTGGCCAAGCCCATTGGAAGACAACCACCCGTGCTCCCCCTCGCCATCTTCCTCTCTTTGCCATCCGAAGCCTCTCTAGCTCGCCTCGCCACGCTGTCATCGCCTTGTGGAGCTCAGCCTCCCCGACCACACCGGTGAGCTTGCATCCTCCGCCACGTCGTGCCATACCCAGCCCCACAATGGAGAGGCGGTGATGGCCTTTTCACCAAGAGCCCAAGAGAGAGAGAAAGAGGGGAGTGAAGGAAGGATAATTACATGTGGGCCCTATTAATTTTAATGTTTTATCTCTGAGCTTGCATGTGGATCCCACCTATATTTAAAGTTTAAGTTTTATTTTCTTCATTATGGAATGTCATGTAAGCACCACATATGCAACATACCATATTAAAAAAAAACTACTCGTTTCATATTATAAGTCGTTTTGACTTTTTAATGTTTGTCTAACTTTATAGAAAAATATATCAATATTTTTAACACAAAACAAACATATTATCAAAATATATTCAATGAAGCTAATTTGGTGTTGTATAAGTTGCTGAAATTTTTTTTATAACTTTGGTCAAAAACAACTTATAATATGAAATAGAGGGAGTAAGAGACATACACGCTCTCGCGCCGCTCTCATGCAGGTGGCTCAGGAGCGAAACCCTAGCCGCCAGCGCCACCCCCTCCCAACGCCTCCAGCTGCCTCGCCGTCGCCGGAAACCGTGCGGCTGGCCGGGAAGGCGGCGGTGGGGAAAACGCGCCAGCGGCGGAGCATCCCCTCGGCGTGGGAGGCAGCGTGACGCACGCAAGGTGGAAGGCGGCGGCCAGAGCGGCCGGCGGGGCGGATCCGGCCTCCCCGGTGGAGGATCTGGCCCCCTGGCGGCCAGATCGGGAGAAGTGCAGCGGCGGCGCTCCGAGACGGAGGACGGCCTCGAGCTCGCGCCGATGGTGGCGCGGCAAGACGGCGGGCGGCCTCACGCTCGCGGTGACGGCGGCGGGACCTCGAGCTTGCGGCAGCGGCGGCGCGCCTCGGTGGGACAGCTCGCGACGGCAGCGGCCACGACGGCACGGCATCACGGCTCGGAGGAGCAGCTCGGCCGGCACGCAGCGAAGGCTGACCGGCTGGACGGCAATTGGCGATGATGGCGCGGACGTGCCTGCCGTGGTGCTCGTGGCAGTTGGCGGCGGCGTCAGCTGACAACAGCGGCGGAGGACATGGCGGCGGCGTCGGGCTGGCTGCTTGGTGGTGGAGGGCGACGGTGCAGCGGTTTGCGGAGGCGGAGGCTAGCGTCGGTGGCAGCGGCGACTGCGGCCGTGGCTGTGGAGGCGGTGGCGATGCCGGCGGATGCGGGTTGCTAGCGACAACAACTGGAGGCGGGGAAGGAGTCGGGTGCGAGATGAGGATGGCGGTGGCGAGGTGACCGTGTCTGCGGTCAGCGGAGGCATGGCGGACTCGGATGGCTAGCCGAGGGCGTGGCAGACGACTGCTTCTGGCCGGCGCGACATCGTTTGGTGGAGGGGTCGGAGACCAGCTTGGCGCAGAGAGGCGCAGCCGATGGCAGCGGAGGCCAGCTCAGCGCGAGAGGCTCAGGCGGCGAAGATAGAGGCCGGCTTGGTGCGAGAGGCGTGGCCGATGGAGGAAGACCGGAATGGCACGAGAGGCGCGTCCGGTGGAGGAGGCCAGCTTGGCGCGAGAGGCGCGGCCAACGGTGGAGGAGGCGACCTAGGTGTGAGGAGGAGTTGCCGGTGGGTGTGGCGCAGTCTTCGGCGCACGAAGGCTAGCCGGCGGGGGACGCCGGTGTAGGGGTTCCACATGTCAGCGGAGCTTGTGTGGTGGTAGAGCATCGGTGCGTCAGCCGTGGATTCGCAGGTGGTGAGCGGCGGGTGAAAATCTAGTCTGGCCTCGGCCGGACCGACAACGATTCCCCTTCCTGAGGGCGTTGTCGTGCTGTCTCACCCCTCAAGGGTGGTTGCCGGGCAAAAGCCCAGTCTTGGCTCCTTTGAGCCCCGACGGACGGCGGCGGCGGTTTTTCGGTCGCTTGTCTTCTTGAAGACATCGTTTGGCATCCCCTAGGGGAGCGATCTCGTCTGTGTCCCTTTGTTGGTTTAGTGGCGGTCGGTTACGCTTAGCGGCGGTCGGTCCGGTGCCAGCCTTCTCCTGGGCTTGTGTGTTGGCGATGTCGGTGTGTGGTTGGTGGAATTTTTTTCCTTTTTCCTGGTTACGACCCTCCAAGGTTGTAATCTTGTATTTTTTTTTCTTGCGCTATCAACAGAACTTCGTATCGTCTTGTGCGAGTCGTTCAAAAAAAATAGAGGGAGTAGATTAAAGTGACACATAGAACGAAACCACTATCAAAAACATCGAGGGAGTAAAATGTATCTCTTTTTTTTTAACGGTTGAGGGAGCCTTTACCTTTACCCAATTTTACACCCTGTTTTGCAGTGGAGGGACACGAATCAAACGTGCCTATAGTCGAGGGAGTCTAGATGGACTTTTTCCTAATAATCTGGCGCGAATCATAAATGGTGAGAACTCGGGTAGATTGAGCCGCGCGCGGCGGCAGAAGGCAACGCGAAACCCTAATCCCCAAATTCGCTATCTCTTGGCTCTGCCATCGAAATTCGAAACCCGCATAGCTTTGGAGCAAGCCGAATCTGCAACCAATCCATCAGATTGGAGGGCGAGGCGCAGGGAAGGCGATCGATCGACCGAAGCCATGCCCACCACCGCAGAGGATCAGAAACAGTGGAAGGTGGTGGAAGTCCAGCGGATCAATGCGGAGTCCCATCCCCCTCCTCGGCGTGACGATAGGTGTGACGACCTCCGCAACGACGAGGAGTTCCAGCGTGTCATGGACAACGTCGTCTTCGGCCGGGGTTATGATCCCACAAGTACGTGATCCGATCCTCGATGTCCCTTTCCTGCACAGTGAGATCAAGTCTTCCGATCTGGCTGATCCTCGGTATGTTTTGTGCAGGAGATGACCTCAGGATCAGCACTGACCCTACTGCGATGGTCGAGCTCATAGAGTACTACCACAAGATGGGTCTGATAGAAGGTAATTGAACCCTCTTCTCGTCTTCCTCTTTTGTTTTTCATTCCCGGAGGTCAATATGGATCCTTTCTTCTTGTTTCTTTTTGTTCGCTCAGGTGAATGGGTGGCTTAGAGCTTCTTGGAGGGGGTGGATGGGGTGGAATTGGAGGATAAGACGGCGATGGATGAGAAGCCAGTGATAGAGGAGGATGATCCACTGGTAGAGAAAGGGTTTTTCCTCCCGGTTAGTAACCCCCTATACTTCCGGTTTTGCAATCGGGAGTAGCAATCCGGGACTAAAGATACTCATCTTTAGTCCCGGGTGAAATAACCGGGACTAAAAATGTATCTTTAGTCCCGGTTCGTATCACCAACCAGGATTAAAAATGGCGATGGCAGCGCCAGTCCCGGTTAGCAACTGGGATTAAAGATGGCGATGGCAGCGCCAGTCCTGGTTAGCCACTGTTTTTTTTCATTATTTTTTCCCAAATCGAGTTGGAACTACACAAATCTCTTCCCAAATCAAGTTGCTCCCTTTATCCCCAAATCAAAATCAAAGTATCATCACAAACATAGATTCACATCATAAATTCTCAAGAAAAAATACATCAAGAAGAGTTGGAACTGCACAAATCTCTTCCCAAATCAAGTTGCTCCCTGTATCCCCAAATCAAAATCAAAAATATCATCACAAACATAGATTCACATCACAAATTCTCAAGAAAAAATACATCAAGAAATACATCATGTTTGTACATCACATAATGAATCACAACTTCTAAAAATTCTCAGATCCAATGAATCACAACTTCTAAAAAATTCTCAGATCCATCACAAATTCTTAAAAAAAAAATCAAGTTGCTGCCGGCCGGCAGCCGCGCGCCACGCTGCTGCCCGCCACCCGCTAGCGCGGCCACGCCGCCTCCCTCCCATCCGCCGCCGCCCGCCCACCCTCCGCGCGGCCCGCCGTGCCAGCCGCCACCGCCCGGACTCGGCCGCCTGGAGAGGATGAGGTAGGGAGGGGTAGGAGAGGTGAAGGGGGAGGAAGAAGGAGAGAGATGGGAGACTTCTGAGATGGAGATCTCTAGAGAGGCCGGCTGTTAATTTAATGCAAAGAGGGGAGAGGAAGGGAGAGGGGGATAAGATCAATGACGACGACTGTGGACTGATACAGAGGCGGGCGGCTCGGGGTGAAGTTTAGTCCCGGTTAGTATAAACAACCGGGATTTTTAGTCCCAGTTATTTATACCAACCGGGACTAAAGATAATTGGGGCCCTGACTCGTCCTGACAATTTTTTGAACCGGGATTAAAAATGATCTTTAGTCCCGGTTCGAATAGGAACCGGGATTATTGTGGATTTTGGACGACCGACCAAAAATGGTTTCTCTACCAGTGATCCTGTAGTTGACTGCGAAGGTAGAGACGACGCCACCCCTGATCGCGCTGATGAGCAGGTGAAGAAACAGTGCTTGATGAGCCTCGAGCTGGATATCAACCGTGACCAGGGTGCCTCATCAACTCTTGGTACGCTGCCATTTAAGCTGTATTCACTTGGTAACTGATGATTGCTATGGATGATTGTGACTTCAGTTAGCATAAAAGGGGAGTGGATTTTCATCCCTGGAGGGGATATCCCCTTCGTTGTTTGCATGTCGCCTAAATAGTTATGAAAAAAATAGAAAAACATTGAGAAGATATATTAACATATGATATATCACTCTACAAACATGCAAGTTCAAATTCAACTGCTACATCTGTTTCAATTTGTTTTTTTCGTTGCGAGATGTAGAAGTTGAATTTGAACTTGCATGTTTATGGAGTGTCACATGTTAATACATCTTCTCAAATTTTTTTAATTTTTTTCATATCCATTTAGGTGACATGCAAACAACGAGGGGATAATCCTTATCCCCTCGAGCGATGAAAATAGTTTCCCACAAAAGTACTGGTTTCCTTGTGTGCTAAAATTTTTTCAATTCACTTGCCCATGTTCCAGACTAACTGACTGACCCATAATTTGTAGCACTTTTTTTTAGATATCGGATTAAACCGGCCTCTGGCACACAGCCAAATAATTTATAGCTAAAATTATTGGGTTATTGTTCTACTAAACTGATTTTTGGCTAGCTATTTTGAAGCTTAATTTGAAGCCTAACTTAATTTGAAGATTGTGAGGATGACTAAAACCAAGAGGCTTGGAGGGAATCTTCTACTTGTTTAAAGTTGTCGAGTCGAGTAGATGACCAATTACAATGTAGAAGAGATGGGCAATTTTCTGAAGGAAAACCTTTGCATGCTATCTGGTCTTAGTCTTATGGCTTACTGGCCCTCTATTCAGTAGTACACTATTAGCTAAAAATTACAAACCACGAAGATGATTGTATTGTTTGACTACATTTTCATGCTGAATTAAATTTAGTGCAATGATCAAGTTGTGGCTGGTACCTCTAGCTAGCTTTATCGCTAGTTTTTGGGTAAGTCAAGATTTAGGTAGCAATGGTTTGTCGCTTTTTATGATACTTTTCTTAAGCTGAGTCTGACAACAAAATACAGATAAGAAATTATTACTTTGTTTAGCTCTTTGTGCAAAATCTGCTGAACTTCACTGCATTTACATCAGCTGTTTGTTGACTTTGATTTGTGTTGATATCCTGCAGAAGTTGCTCAAAGAGGACTGGCAATTGGCACCTGAATCTCCAGATGGATGTGAAATTTGGTAATGTCTATATCAAACCGTGACTCCTCGAGTCTATCGTATTAGCATAAAAATATATATATGTAGAGTATATATATCTTGTCTGGGATGCTAATTGAGATCGATGTTGAGAACCATGTATAATCAATCATTATAAAAATATATGTATGTGCTGTTGAATGTATTTTGCCAAGGCAGAGTGAGCCTGAGACGTAAAACTAGACAGCCACGAAAACTGTTATCAAACAAACGGGAGTGAATTCTAATATTCCCTCGTATACCTTTTTTTTCTAAATTCAATGCAAATAGTTGTGAAAAATTCTGAAAAAAATTGACAATGTACAGTATAATGATACCTACTAGTCCACCAAAATTCAAGTTCAAATTTAATCTACACATCGAGAAACAAAAAAGACAATTTTAGATATAAACAGTACGCTACTATTCGTACGCTTAATTTGTCTTTTTTATATCTCGACGTGTGAGTTGATTTTGGATTTAAGATTTTGTGGAGTTGTATATATGTGTTGTATGAATGTTGTCAAATTTTTCCAGAATTTTTCGTAGCCGTTTAAATAGTTTTTAAGCAAACGAGGAAACATCCCCTCGAGGGATTAGAATAGTTTCCCTCAAACATTTCACAAGATACCACTACTGGTGCAGTTAGCCCATTTTGGTGCCTGTAGGCAGTAGTAAAAATCCTTCGGATGCCCATATATCTTCTTCCCTGTCATTTTTTCATTTGCGCAATTCAACTACTTGTAACAATCAGAAACAGGTTCCCTCTTACCCTCCTGGTTTTACCCATGCTCACAAAGCTTCATTAACTAGCAGACAACACGGGATAGAAATCACCTGAACTATTTCAGGCCTAATTAAGCGGAATACATGACACTGGTCCATGAATTGAACTATTTTGGGACTATACAGATTGGGGGCTCCGGAGGCAGGTTGTTGATCCTAGCGTAGTTTCTTCACCAGCTCATGCTGTCTGCAATCAACAGCCTAGTAGCCGCGAAAGTCTTTCTAGCACCTAGGTGCTGCGGCACCTAGACTAGAAATCACACGATGGTTTAAAGATTCGTGCGTCAGATAGTATACGGAGATGTTAGGATCGTATTTCTTTTTTTTGAGCGCACGCTCGAAATACAGCGCTGGCCCACCAGAAGATTCATATGGGAGGGGGGGACCAATACGTGTGTACGACGCCTCCTATTCTCGTCCACATAATGTTCGATACATCCCCAGAGTCATCGGGACCGAATCGCCACCCGCCGCCGCCGCTGTTCGCCGGCCGCCGGCCGCCGCCAGCCGGCCGCATCCCTGTTGCATGTTCCTTTGGCGGAAGCGGTGCTCCATCCAGTCTCACCGAGCCTCCGGCCGAGGACTTCCATCAGGTATGCTCTAGGAATCCCCTCTTCCCCAACCCCCGCTGCCCCCATCCCCCGTCCCCTCCTCCATATCACCCTCGTTGAGTCATCGTCCTGGACTCCGACGAGCTTCCATCGCCGCACATGGAGGCCCTGTTGGCTGCGGCGGCTGCGTGAAGCCTCCCGTATCAAGAGTTGCCTCCGCTCACAGACACCGGCGAGCTATCACGGGCCAGCAAACAAGTTATACCGCCCCATTCGCCATTCTTGAGCTTCTTGAAGTGCAGTTTTTCATCCATGCCGTGAGCGGACGCCGGCGAGCCGAGACAAAGAAACAGCACGTGCTTCGTGAGCGGACACCGGCGAGACGACACGAGCTGAGCCGAGGCAACAATACGTTAAGGTCAGCAAAACAATCGATGTTTTCTTCTCCCCTGCCGCACAAGCACGCATTCTTTCGTCGCCGCCGCCACAGAATAACTCCAGGGCTTTCAATTCTTCTTAGCAAACGGCGAACGATTTTGTCCATGGTTGTTTTTTTTCCCTACATTTTTCTGGAGGAAAGAAAGAAACCACACCAAATCTTTTTTTTTCACATTTTGATCTACTGAAAATGATTTTTCAATTTCTTTTGCATGTTTTATATTCTCATTACATGTTTTGTGGGGAGATTGGCAGGTCTTTGAGAAGAGTGGTTTACACCAACGGATCCATGCAACTGTGCTAGCAGAAGCTGAGTAGCCCATAGGCCATGGCGGCGACGAAGACTGTTTTTTTTTTTTGTCATGGAAAAACTCACACCCCTTTTCTATTCTTTTTTATAAAAATTAATGATTATAATTAAGACCAAAAGAGCCAATTTTTGGGATGAGGAAAATTGGTTCAAACTTAAAGGAGGTCTTGTTTTATCTGAGCTCTGGGCTTCGCGGAGTACATCTGTACCTGCTTTCTCTGCTAGCAAAGGAGGATAGCAAGATGAAGTTGGTAGAGGAGACTTCAAACCAAATACCTCTTGCTTCTTTTTGGATGTAACTTCATCTAAGTTTTCCGATATTTTTCCTCTCTCGAATACTTTTAATAGCAAGAATGTATAGAAAAGCTGAATAAGATACAAAAATTTGGGGACACTATGGACACACTGCAGAAAGTTGCAAACTTTGTCATTTGACTAGCTTTTGTTCAGGTAGGAGGAACTAGGATGTACTGATGATTGAACAAGCAGCTGCAATAGCTACTCCAATGGTATGGGATGTTAAGCTCGACCATTTGAGGTGTCAGCCTAGCATGTTTTTTTTGTAAAGTGTATTGGCACACTATGGCTGTTGTATAGTATGCACTTATCTGAAAAAGTGACATTTTTGGAGTACATTAGAACAACAATGGGGCAGCGCACAGATGTAAGCTGTTCGAAATTCACAATCTTACGTTTCATGGATTAATGTCAATGTTCCAGTGCCAATCTTTTTTGTGGCAGTGGATGTTGGAATTTTAGTCTTTCTTTATTACAAGCGATTGATGTTGTCTGGGGTAAACAATAGTATGAAGAAAAAGTCCAATGATCCGATCTTTGCTTTGATCAATTACACACGGAAGAAGATGGATCCAATAACTGACCAATAAATAGTCTGTTTGCTCATCTAGTTAAAGCAAACAAAAAGAATCCAAATACAAACAGATAATAGAACACCTCTGTTATCTCTCAACCGATCATGAACAGAAGATCTCTCTCCTTCTCCCTCCCTCTCTCTGTCGTCTCTCTCTCTCCCCCGGTCCCCCCTCTCTTAGGCTTTTGGCAGATCATGAACAGAGAAGAAGCACTTGCATTGGCAAAGCGAATCAGAAAGAAATCATGGAAATTACATGTGCTCCACTTCTATGTTGGTCAAATCTACATTTTATGAATTGTACTTCCTCCGTCCTATAATATAAGAGATTTTAAGTTTTTCTTACAACGTTTGATCACTCGTCTTATTCAAAAAATTTTGAAATTATTAATTATTTTATTTGTGACTTACTTTATTATATACAGTACTTTAAGCACAACTTTTCGTTTTTTATATTTGCAAAAAAAAATTGAATAAGACGAGTGGTGAAACGTTATAAGTAAAAACTGAAAATCCCTTATATTATGGGACGGAGGGAGTATACTTCTAAATCACCTTGTATTACCTCTAGGCCAAGTGAGAAGAGCAAGTAGCACTGTGTAGCAGAGCAACAGCAAAGAAGCGACTACACTAGCAACAGCAAAGAAGCGACTACATACGCTCACAGTAATTAATTAGATATTTAGATGAAACACATCCTAATATATTTCGATCCAAAAATTAATTATTTTGCTTTGAGATTAATGAGCAATACACTAAAACATGAAGAGAAATTTAAAAAATTGATGATAAATACTTGAGCTGGAACATGCAGAACAAGATCAGCAACAATAACACTAGCAAAGGTTAATGGAAATCTCTAACAGCTCGGTATATAGACGTCCTCTGCCCGAAGGTGTCGATGGATTTCCTCGGGACGGCGCCGCCCGGCGAATCCACCCGCCTGTTCTCCGACGACGAGCTCTCGGCCGCGACGACGACGCTGCCCCCTGCAGTGGATGCCACCGACCACGTGCTCATCGATAGCGCCAGGCTCTGCCCATGCGAGCTCGCCGTGCCCCCGGCGCCGCCGCCGCCGCCGTTGCAGCTCCCCACCAGCACGTCGGAGCACGCGTAGCTGCTCGCGCTCGCATCGGTGCTCATGTCCTGATCAGCGTGCTGCGGCGGCGATGGCTGCGGCTGCGGGTGGTTGCTCCAGAGCCACGTCTTAATCATGGACAGTTCTATGGTTCCGCCGCCGCATCCGCCGTTACTGTAACCACCGGCGCCGTTGACAGTGCTTCCGGAGTAGAGGTATCCGCTGGCGGCTTGGCCGTGCACGTCGGAGAATAAGTTGCCGTCGAGGAAGTTCTCCAGCTTCGGCGCCTCGCCACCGCCGTCGCCCACCGTCCTCCTCCCGCCGCCGCTCGAGCCGACGAGCATCGAGAGGTCGGAGGAGCCACCGCCGTAGTCCAAACCCCTCAGCGCCCAATCTGCAAAGCACGCCAGGGAGATCACCATGCACGACTCCCCCAAAATTCGCTGCTTGCGGCTGCAAAATCCCCATCAAATAGCTATACGGGTATTCTCCCCTGCCAACAATTAATAAAACAGTTTTCTCTGCTCACCACCAAGAACGGAGATTGCGAAACGAAAGAAAATACAAGAACCACCAAAAAAGAAACACAGCTCGCTGGCTAATACGGAGACTCATTCGAACAGCACGGGGAAGAGAACACTTACGAGATTTCCACCATGGGAGATCCGGTGGACGAGCCGCAGCTGAGGATGAGATCTGTGTAGGACATCGAGCTCGTAAGGTGGTGTGCAGCTGTGCGCGGGCAAGTGGTTGGACACACCAATCACATCCGCCGCCGTGTTTCCATCGCGGATGGGATCTTGGGGAACAGACGGCTTCCAGTTAGACTGCCGATTGCACGCCATGGCCGCCGCGTCGGCGAGCGGGGCGGGTGGTGGGTGGGGGGAGAAAGTGGCCATTGAGCTCGCACGATCTTGTTGCGCGAGCATGTTGTTGGTCACCACACCCCCATCCACCGTCGTGCATACCTCGCCGGTGGGATGTTGGAGAACAGCCGGCGTGCACCCCATCGCCGCAGGAGCGGCGAGGCGGCGTGGTTGGGGCGGGGGTGAAAGGGGGAAACAGCCGGCACTGCGCGTCGTCGAACACACCGGCGAGATTTGTGTTCGGCAATAATTGGGAGGGGCCAATAGTACTCTCTCTCCAACGTGACGCGCTGGCCCACGGAGCGTAAAAGTAGTACTTTGTATACCCAATACATACGGTCAGCGCAATATATAGATTGAAATACGTCCCGACCACTTTACAACCGGCACCAATCGCGGGATGCATCTGACGGCTCCCAGCCTACTCCTCTTTCAGTTTCACCTGCTGCTCCTCCTCTTTCACCGGCTCCTCCATTTTCATCTTCATCTTCCTCCATTTTCATTTTCATCTTCATCTCACATTCCAACTCCAACCCCTCCACACATCCACTCCCTTGTAGTCGTAGTAGATGTCATAAATCTTCCATTCACTTTGGGATTTTTTTTTTAAAAGACTCAAGTATATATGAACCTCGGCAACACGGTTTATCCTCTCCGGCGGCGGCCATGGCCTTTGATCGATCGATCGCCTCCCCTGCGCCTCGCCCTCGAATCCGATTGATGTATTGTCGATGCGGCTTGCTGGATCGAATGCTATTGGATTTGGGGATTAGGGTTTGGAAGCCGCGCTGCATTCTGCAGTTTTGCCACCACGGCTCAATCTAAAGACAATCCAACGGGTACTATACATTGGACTTCCGAATTCCGATCGGACGACGGACGAGATAAACCTATTGACTTAGTCAAACGCGCATCTCTTGATCTCTTCTCCCGCCTTCCCCCGTCTCCGACGTGGACATCGAAGTACGGAATACGGATCAGAAACGACTTGAAGCGCCTCCTCCTCCTCCTCCTCTTTTAAGCAAACCGGCTAGCGACCGAGCGAGCTCTGACCTCTGAAATCATCGCGTAATCAAGTGCAACTACTTCCTAATAAACCCTATAACGATCCGATCCCCTAGCGGGAGCAAGAACACGTGAACCCTAGGGCGATCCGATCCCCTAGCGCGAGCAAGAAGACGTGAGGACGATGAGCATAGCCGTAGTGATGAACAAAACGAGCACGGTAGCCATGGAGGATCGCCGCTCTTATGCGATCCACCGCACTCCGGCGTTGCCACGCATTGTCAGCAATTCATCCTCTGTCGCGACGGCAGAGGACGCCCACAGAGGAGGTAATTACAAGCAGCGGCCGATATGCCGGGGGGACGAGCGGTTGCCGATGCCGCCGCTACACAGCAAGCGCCGCCGCGACGAACACCACCGCCGGGACTACCACTACGACGACGACGACTACGCCTATCGTGCGAGCAAGAAGAAGAAGCAGCAGGCGGCCGCTGAACAGGCGGCGCGCATGCCGAACAACAGGACGACCAGACCGACGACGCGGCGCGCGTCGTCGTCGCGCTCGCGCACCAAGGAAGAGAGCCATGCCCGCGGTGGCGGCGCCGCGCCGCGACGCGAGAACAAGGATCGCAAGGACGGCGCCGGCGGGCGCCGCTCGCAGCGGCGCGCACCGACGATCAGCGGACCGCGCGTCCCGCCACCGGCGACGCCGCCTCCGGCGGCGCTACCGGACTCGTTGACGGCGCAAGACGCGCTGAGCGCGGCCGCGGCGAGAGCGAGGGAGATCTCGCTGATGCGGGAGGAGGCACGGCGGGAGCTGGCCAAGATGGTCAGGACCGTCGAGTTCAACGATCCGTACATCTCACCCATGGACGCGCTCAAGCCCTGACCATGGCGTACGTACGCCTGACAATTTGTTTTAGCTCTTCTTAGGTTGTGTTTGGTACGAGGGGTGCACGTAAAACAGAACTACTCATCACCGATGATTAATTAAGTATTAGCTGGAATATTTAAAATTAGATTAATATTATTTTTATAACATTTTTTATATATTTTTTAATAAACGTACCATTTAGTAATTTAGAAAATGAATGGGTAGTGCTGAATTCAGCCTTACTGTTGGACACGCGTATATGTTAATTCAGCATATCAATTTGTTTAGCCAATGGCAAAATTTAGAAGTCCTATGTTGAACAGCTGTACTATTTTTGTGAACTGAACGATTGGTCTGATCTATCTTTGAAAAATAAGTGCCGATTTATTTTTGTGAAGCTTAATTAGGTTGATCGATTGGTCAGAACTCGGGTGTAATTCAGCGTAGAGTTGAAGTAGGTGATCATCAGCATCACTAGTTCAGTACTTAACACCACGCACATGGCACATGCTCCTCGAATAAAAACCTGCATGAAAATTAAAGCACATCAATGGTGGGGATTAAAAGTGGATTAACCGAGCTTCCGATCGAACGGACGAGATCAAATCAACCAACGGAAACTTGGCAAACGCGCTACCCCCCTCATCCAATTCTCCCGCGCGCGCGAGACAGCGAGACCGACTCCGACTCGAAGCGCCGCCTCCTCTTAAGTCTTAACCCAACTGGTTTGAGATCTGCACCATCCTTCCCTTCGCTTCCCATCCACTGCCCAACTCCCTCTTCCTAAACCCTGGAGAGCTCGCGATCCTCCACTACTCCGATCCCCTAGCGCTAGCAAGAAGCAGCCATGAAGATGATGAGCATGGCGCAGATCATGAGGAAGACGAGCGTGGTCGTCCTGCAGGAGGAGGAGGATCTCACCTCCTCTGCGACCCGCCGTGCTCCAGCTCCGCCGCCTCGCGAGGTAGTACGCGTCCGCCTCCGCCTCACCCCCGCCCCTGTCGCCACGGCGGAGGACGCCGCCAGGGGAGGCAAGATGCCGCCGCCGCCGCCGCTCCCCACCTCGTGCGAGCAAGAAGAAGCATGTGTTGAGCAAGAAGGAAGAGGCGGCCCTTGCCCGTTGCTCCTCCGCCGCGGCGCGACGCCCGATGATCAAGAACTGCAGCGGCGGCGGCGAGCGCTCGCAGGAGAGCGCGCCGGCGCCGTCACCGTCGCCGGCGAGGCTGGGCTCCTCGACGGCGCAAGACACGCTGAGCGCGGCCATCGCCGTGGCCCGTTCGGTCATGGACAAGCGGAGGGAGGTCTCGCTGTGGAGGGAGGAGGCCCACGGCGGGAGCTGGCCAAGATGGTCAGGACCGTGGAATTCAACGACCCGTACATCTCACCCATGGACGTCCTCAAACCCTGATCGAACATGGTGGTGCCAAGAATTTTCTTTCTTAAGCTCTTGTTGGGGTTCGAGATATGAAATTATTAGCCATGTGTTTATTGTAGTGTTTAATGTCGAAATCATTGGCAATTTTGTTGTGAGCCAGTGGTTTAACCTAGAATTCTTTTGTACATTGAAAACAGAGCAAATGCTCTGCTGTTAGTAGTAATTATGAACTGCATGTAATATCAGATGTACTTAACAAACATTATCTATTCTGAACTGAAGAGTACTACTAAGTTTTTTTTTTCACGATTGCAACAAAATTCTGTCGCGATGCGGATTACCACTCATTATGAGCTTTGAATTAGTTGGGCCAAAACACTTAGTTCGTGGGCCTCTCAGCCTACAAAGGCAGGCACAAGCTGCCCAGAACCAGAACCAGAAGGCCCAGTGGCTAGCCACGCACAACCCCTAAACCCGGAGGGCCTCTCCTCTCCGACGGCGGTAGCGCGGCGTGGGCGGCGCGCGCGCTCCGGCGGCCAAGGCTACGGCGCCGGGTGCAGCGGCGCGGGAGGATCTGGAAGGGTGCAGCGCGGGAGGAGCACAGCCGCCGAGCCCTTGCTGCGGGCTGCGGCGCGGCGGCGGCGAGGCGGCGAGCCGCAGGGCAGGCCGGCAGGCGGCAGGCGGCAGGCAGCGGCTGAGCGGCGGCCAGCGTCGGCGTGTGCGGCGGCGACTCGGCGTCGACGCGGCTTGGCGGCTGCAGCAGGCGCGGGCGCGGCTTGGTCGCTTGGAGGCTTGGCCGCCATCTCGCCATCTCCGTCGACCGTCGGCCACCTCGGCACCTCCTTGAATTGTAAGATTTCTTCCCAATTTATTATTTTCTATCATTTTGGTATTTCATATGTTGGCACTTTGATATGTTTACCAATTAGTATTTCTACATATTTACCAATTCTATCAATGTGTGAACTTATGATCAATTTTATGTTATATACGCTAAATATTGTAATTATTAGTGTGTTATACTCCCTCCTTCTCTAAATGTTTGACGCCGTTGATTTTTTTAAACATGTTTGACCGTTCGTCTTATTCAAAAACTTTTGTGAAATATGTAAAATTATATGTATACATTAAAGTATATTTAACAATGAATCAAATGATAGGAAAAGAATTAATAATTACTTAAATTTTTTTGAATAAGACGAATGGTCAAACATGTTTAAAAAAGTTAACGGCATCAAATATTTTGGAATGGAGGGAGTACTATACAAGCTAATTTTTAGGCTATTAGGTGTATGAACAAATTTTTTTTACCCCCTTGTCATTTTGAATACACAAGTTCAAAAAGCTAGGCCCACAGCTGAGGAGGAGCCGGCAAGCCTTCGGTGGTCCAGCCGTCCAGCCCGCTAGGGCGCGGCAGCGTGGGAGAGGGGTGGGGGGGGGGGCGCCAGGTATCAACTCCTAGCTGCTAGGGCGCGGGCGCTGCGGCGTGGCCACGGCTCGGAGCCCAGGACGGACCTACGGCCGAGGACCATCTGATTGTTGTGAGAGTTCTGAGGTGAGTGGATGAAATCCGTGAATCCCCCCCATTCTCCAATTGAAAATTTGAAAAAAATGTGTAGTCCCTGAATGAATGTTACGGTTGTTCATCAATCCATCTATCTCCTGTGATAATTTTCATGTCATTGTGGACTGAAATTTTGATCGGTGGTGTTGATTGTCAAATTGTGCAATTTTAGGATGATGACATCATTTCTAGATTACAATGCATGACAAAACACAAAGTTAAACGGTACTCTCTCCGTGAATTCACAATGTAAGACTTTCTAACATTTTCTACATTCATAAAGATGTTAATGGATCTAGATGTTCATATGTGTCTAGATTCATTAATATCTATATGAATGTGGATAATGCTAGAAAGTCTTACATTGTAAAACGGAGAAAGTAGGTTTCTTAATTATTTTGTAGTTTGTTAATATTAGTTGAGATTCCACTGATACAAACTGTTTGTATTTTGATGTATGATACTGTGAACTTTTCATATTGAATAATACCTTGTTACTTCGAATACCCAGCCGTGCAATTCTACATCCACTACTGGCTGTTGAGAAACTTGGTAGCAATCACAAGAAAGAGCATCAAGAGGCAGTTGCTGGCACTGAAAGTGAAAAGTAAGTTCTGAAAATCAATTCGGTTTTTCTTACTAGTTTGTTTTGGAAAAATGTGGAGGACAGAGGACAGAGTTTAAAGTTGAATTGAATCACTTGTTACCATATCATACTCACAATTGAGCCTCTCACTCTGCACGAACAGTAGGTAGCACACGAAGCTGACAACTGGGCCTTGCCTTCAAGTTTTCTCACCGGATGCTTGCCACCCCCACCCACTGCCTGAGCTGACACTCCGGTTGCAGAACCTCGACCTGCTCTTCTGATTGCAGTCAGCTCTCATCGGAGCCACAGCAACTGCTACATAATGTCTCTTGCTGCGGTTGCTTCTCCACATTTCCCACCGTCATGGGCCTATCAGATCCGTATGGCTGCTTCCCAGGGCCAATTTCTCCACGCCATCTCTCTCTTCCTACAAATGCGTGCCTCTGTTGCGCCCCGATCATCTGTTCCGGCCTCCCTCCCTGCTGCACTCAAGTCCTGCGCCGGCCTTGGCCTCTGCACTCTTGCTGCATCTCTCCATGCTCTCGCCATCCGCTCCGGTTCCTTCGCTGACCGCTTTACCGCCAATGCCCTCCTCAACCTCTGCATCAAGCTCCCAGGTTTTCATCACCCCTTTGGGACAAATGGGCCTTCTGGGGAAGGAGGCCTGGAATCAGCTGCATATGAGAGCATGCGGAAAGTGTTTGATGAAATGCTCGAGAGGGATGCCGTGTCTTGGAACACTTTGATATTGGGATGTGCAGAGCACAAGAGGCACCAAGAAGCTCTGAGCATGGTTAGGGAGATGTGGAGGGATGGATTTATGCCTGACACGTTTACACTGTCAACTGTGCTGCCAATCTTTGCGGAGTGCGCTGATATCAAGAGAGGCATGGTGGTCCATGGGTATGCTATCAAGAATGGATTTGACAATGATGTTTTTGTTGGAAGTAGCTTGATTGATATGTATGCTAACTGCACTCAAATGGATTACTCTATGAAGGTGTTCGACAGCTTCTCAGACTGTGATGCAGTTCTGTGGAACTCAATGCTTGCAGGTTATGCACAAAATGGGTCAGTTGAGGAGGCTCTTGGAATATTCCGTCGGATGCTGCAAGCTGGAGTGAGGCCCGTGCCTGTGACTTTCTCAAGCCTAATACCTGCCTTTGGCAATTTGTCATTGTTGCGTCTTGGGAAGCAGCTGCATGCCTATTTGATCCGTGCCAGATTTAATGATAACATATTTATATCTAGCTCCCTTATTGACATGTATTGCAAGTGTGGGAATGTTGACATAGCTCGTCGCGTTTTTAATGGGATACAATCACCTGACATCGTATCATGGACTGCGATGATCATGGGTTATGCATTGCACGGTCCAACAACAGAGGCTTTTGTGCTGTTTGAGAGAATGGAGTTGGGAAATGTGAAGCCTAATCATATAACTTTTCTAGCAGTTTTGACTGCATGTAGTCATGCTGGGTTGGTGGACAATGGATGGAAGTATTTTAACAGTATGTCTAACCAGTATGGATTTGTTCCATCCCTTGAGCATTGTGCTGCACTTGCAGACACCCTTGGTCGTGCAGGAGATTTAGATGAAGCATATAATTTCATCTCTGAAATGAAAATAAAACCAACTTCAAGCGTCTGGTCCACCTTGTTAAGGGCTTGCAGGGTCCATAAAAACACTGTTTTAGCTGAGGAAGTGGCCAAGAAGATCTTTGAGCTTGAACCTAAAAGCATGGGATCTCATGTAATTTTGTCAAACATGTATTCGGCTTCTGGGAGATGGAATGAAGCAGCACAGCTGCGGAAATCTATGAGAATCAAAGGTATGAAGAAGGAACCAGCTTGCAGTTGGATTGAAGTGAAGAACAAATTGCATGTGTTCATAGCTCATGATAAGTCCCATCCCTGGTACGATAGGATTATTGATGCACTGAATGTTTACTCAGAGCAGATGATTCGTCAAGGATATGTGCCCAATATGGAGGATGTTTTACAGGACATTGAAGAAGAGCAGAAGAGAGAGGTGTTATGTGGCCATAGTGAGAAACTTGCAATAGTATTTGGTATTATTAGCACGCCACCTGGAACAACAATACGTGTGATGAAGAACCTCCGAGTTTGTGTTGACTGCCATATAGCAACAAAATTTATTTCAAAGATAGTTGCAAGGGAGATTGTTGTCCGTGATGTAAACAGATTCCACCGATTTAAGGATGGGAATTGTTCATGCGGAGATTTTTGGTGATTCAGGATGTCTTCAAAAGATTGAGTGCATGCTTATGGTCGATATCATGCTTGAGCACCCCTCTCCAGGGCATTATGGTCGATATCATGGTTGTGTTGGGTCTTCTTCAGTCACCATCTAGTGCTACATGTACTACTCTGCAGCTCCCATTTGCCATAGGCACATGTTTGCAAGTGATCTGAATGCCATTGCCATAAGCAGGGGCAGCCGCCACTCGACGCCTCTGCCATCTACAATTCTTCTCTCCGCCACTTCGAAATCAGGTAAATCTTTTCTTTATGCACGCAAGATGATCAGCTAAATTACCAACTGACATGCACAGGAATCTAACTGACTCTGATTCTTATTTCCCTTGACCTCTCCCAGTGATTCCAAGTTCCCCTTGCATTCTATAAGCCTGTCTTATGACAACTTGGCATGGATGTTGGCGCTGGTGGAGATCAGCGCTGATCTTTGGTCAATACGATCGGCACTCCAAGGGACGGAAGAGATTGGCTGCCTTGTTTATTTCCCTTGTGTGATCAAGCTTTTTGTTTTGGAGGAATGAGACTGTGGGGGTGAAGTTGGAGATCAGTTCATGTACACTTGTCCATGGCGCTATCACCTGTACTGTCTAAATTTGGTAAGAGTATTTGCAATCCACTGCATCACCTCCTGTGTAATCTTCTAATTTTCTTCTGTTAGATTGAAAATTTTGCGCGACACTTGCATCTGTTGTACGCATAGAATTCATTTAGTTGAGCTTATATAGTAGTATAAATGTTCTTATATAGTCAAATTTGTTGAGTTTGATTCATTTCAAATAGATCTCATGAAACACCGGCAGTGGTTTCAGTGATTGGGTTTATTGTGCCCTTTTTCATATGAAATTTCTCTTACTGTTTAACTTGATTCTTCAAACACATGGATGTACAACCAAACAAATTTGAAGCCTACATTCCTTCTGTGTTTCTCCCATTTCAAATTCCAACAAATGCCGATTTTATTCATAGTCTTGACGAAAAGATGCCAAGATGCCGTTGAATTTATCAGAACGGTATTTCTCCCGCTTTCCCCTGCTCTTCTCCGCCTCCCCGGCGACCGGCGACGCTGTCAGCCGTGTCTCCGCGGCATTCCGTCCCGTGCTTAACGACAACCATGCACGGCCTGGATGAGGTACCAGATACCTCGTGTGGCATATATGATCAGAACAATTTTTTTGATCATGAACAGGAAAATGAAGGAATTCCTATATTTTGATCACCATCTGTAGGCACGAGCACATGATCATCTGAATTTTTTTTTCTTTGGTAAGATACTAATTGCGTTCAGACAAAACAGGACAGAAGTGAACTAATGCTCAAGCTTGTCAGAACAAAGCAGACTTTAGAGTTTTCTTTTAAGGGGTGTGGGGGTAAAGTTTTAGCGTGTCACATGGGGTGTTCAGATACTAATAAAAAAACTAATTACAGAATCCGTCAGTAAACAACTAGACGAATTTATTAAACCTAATTAATTTGTCATTAGTAAATGTTTACTGTAGCACCACATTGTCAAATCATGGAGCAATTAGACTTAAAAGATCTGTCTCGCAAATTAGTCGTAATATGTACAATTAGTTATTTTTTAGCCTATATTTAATACTTCATGCATGTGTTCAAACGTTCGATGTGCCAGGGCGTAAAATTTAGGATGGGATCTAAACAGACCCTAAATTTCATATATTCTTCGTAGCTCATTTTCTTTGACGTGTATTTTTGTGTCTTACATGTAAGGTCGTAGCTCAATTCACAATCCATGTTTTCTTCTCTCTTCAGACCGGTGGTTTGTTACTCAAAAAATATGCAGTGCTAACTTGGCAACGCTTCCATAGTTCCATCCGGAAATGGAAAGCGGCAAAGCGCCGACTTGAAGCATCAAACGTCTCCTTCCCTTGTATATAGGCAAAGGCGCAGGGGTGGCAGCCATCTCTACATCCATCAGTTCGCGTGAGCTTCCTAAACCCTCGAGAAAACCCAGAGATCAAGAAGCGAGGAGCAAAAAGCCTTGGCTAAGAGAGACACGAGCATGGCCGCGCCGGCGCCGCCGGCGCCGCCACCTCGGCCGCCGTTCAAGGTGCGCATCCGCATCAAACCCGCCCGCGCCGCGAGGGCGGAGGAGGACGCCGGCAAACAGGAGGAGCGGCTTCCGATGGATCACCCGCTCTCCACCACCACCACCACCAAGCGCCGCCCCGAGGGCGAGGAGAGCTCCGGCGCGGCGAGCCAGCCGGCGCCGGAGCGCGTGAATCCCACCGGGACAACCACGCCGGCGGCGCGGGCGGCGGCGTCGTGCTGCGTGAATGAAGAGGCCCTGGCCAGCAGCTCCCACGCCGGCGGCCGCGACGACGGCGCGAGCGCGATCAAGAAATGCAAGGACGGCGAGGGGAGGCAAGAGGACGCCAAGAACGCGCAAGAAAGCTCGGGGATGACAAGCCCGGCCGTGCATTCCGCCAGGGCCACCTCACCGGCGCCGCCGCCGTCGCGCACGAAGAAAGAGACCCCGGTCCGCGCCCATGCCGCCGTCCGCGACGACGACGCGACGCCGCCACGCGCGATCAAGAGCTGCAAGAACGGCGAGCGGGGGCAAGAGAAGGACGCCGAGAGCGCGCAAGGATGCGCGAGGACGAGAAGCCCGCCGGTGCGTTCCGCCAGGGCCACCACACCGGCGGCTTCGCCGTCGCGCTCGAAGAAAGAGACCCCGGTCCGCGCCCACGCCGCCGTCCGCGGCGACGACGCGACGCCGCCACGCGCGATCAAGAAGTGCAAGAGCGACGAGCGGAGGCAAGAGAAGGACGGCGAGAGCGCGGGACAATGCGCGACGACGAGCAGCCCGCGCGTACAGCCCTCACCGACGCCGTCGCCGGCGCCGGCGGCGCGGCCGGATCCCAGTGCGGCGGAGAACTCGCTGCGCGAGGCCATTGAGAGGGCCCGCCCACACATGCGGAGGGACATCGCGCGGCAGAGGGAGGCGGCGCGACGGGAGATCGCCAGCATGGTCAGGACCGTCGAGTTCAACGACCCGTTCATCTCACCGGAGGACGTGAACAAGCCATGATCATGGCGTCCTCCTAACAAGGTCTTTTGTAGCTCGTTTTAGGGTTCGTGATCTCTAGTTGTTAACCATGTGTTAGGGTTGACGCCATTGGCAATCGGCTGTTTTTGTTGTAAACCAATGCCTCAGTTCATGATTCTTTTGTCGAACCGAGCAAATTGCTCTGCTGTACATTGCCTATTCTGTACTGAGTGACGTAATTTCAAAAGATGAATGTCACTATTTCCGTTGAGATTGATTGTTCAAATCAGTAGACATCGTGAACATTAACTGATTAACAGGAGTGTTTCGTCCGACCAGTTAATACAGTATCTACAAACAAATTTTGCATGCGCTGAATTCGGTGAAGTATCATGAACATGTGGGCTAGAGTTTAGGGCTTCAGAACTGCCTGAGGGGAGCAATGGGCCAAACCAAACTGCACATATTCAGGTCCATAGTCCTCTATGAATATATATTGAACTTATTGTATGTTTGATCAAAGTTGTCATTACAATACGCAGACAAAATCAATTCATATTCAGAATACAGATACATTGCGTAACAAAATCACTTGATCGAAAAATTTCTCAGCTTTGGTGAAGCATTATCTAAAAAAGTGTTGTTCAGGGAAGAGAGGTTGACTGTCAACGCAAAGCAGAAACCAATCAGCTCAATTATATCCTCGCCAATGCTGCAGGACTGATTGGAATGATGCCAGAGGATGAGACCAGAGCATCAATAGGAACATCTGTTGAGTTGACTGGGATGATGCCTTCCTCCAAAATTTGCACCGAGTATGAAAGCGCGACTTCAAAATAGAAAATCAGGCCATTAGTCTATCATTTAGCAATAATAGTGCTAGATCGGATTTCATCATTTAAATGTAACTATGAACTGCAACGCACAAAAGTGTGCCCACTAGGTATACGTATTTCATGGGCATGTAGAAGTAAATGAAATGCAATTACAAGCTTTGGTTCAGTTAAATTATAATGTAACTTCTAGTTGACTTGTTAATTCACTACGTGATTAAGGAACTAGTCACCACAATTTAGTTTCTGGTTGGACCAAGAATCCCTGATACCCTTCATAAAAGAATCTGAAAGCTTGTTGGGATCTGATTATGAAATTTGGTTCAGTATTGCGGGCCAAACAAAATAATCATTGTAGTAGAAAATACAAAATAGCATGTTACATCAAGGAACCAACAGAACATATTAGGCTACCAACAGGTTGGCCCCTCTGTTCATGGTGTTGGTGCTACTTCAAAACAGCTCACTTTGGTCCTGTTTTTGACATTAAGGGACCAATAGTAAACTTTCCGTAACTATAATCAACTAAAATGACATAACATGTCAACGATGTGTAATAACAAACAAAAAGAGTCTAAAGTAAACAAAAACAACTGAACTTCTGGAAATCTGCACATCATACCTAGAAGAGGCTGATCCCACCCTTTCTCTTTAGCAAGTTCTTGATATCTCATCAAGAATGTGTCATAGTACCTTCGATGAACAAACATACAAATATATAATTTAGATGAAGGAAAAATTTCAGGCTTTGGTCTAAACAATACTAAGTCAAACTGGCATAAATGAACTATTGGTGACAGGATGGCATTAAAAAGATTTGAAGTTCATGTGCCCCTTGCCATTATATGCATTTTAGATGCACTTGACGAATTGTGGACCATTAAGCAGATTGTGTTAAATCAAATGAGATACAGCCAAAGCACAAAACTAATATGCAGAGACATCATATACTTTCTCCCTAACAGAGGAAATAAAATGCACATCATAGAGCTGTGGAGGCTATAAAATCTAAAAAAGAAAGCAAAGGCCGCACCCACACGAATAGCCTGAGTTCTTCAAACTAACAGCGAATAAAGCACAGAAAGTAAGTTATGAATCTAATTGTCAAGATGCCAACCCAGATTCCACGACTTATGTTTACACAGTTTAGTTTCTAAATCCACACGCTACACTGCAACCATTCAACTACCAGCTCTTACATTTCTTAGATGTTCTGCAGATGTTGTGACAGGTATTTGATTTGTGCTGCTAGACCAAGAACTTTCATCCATGTGGATCACCCTACAACAAGTTTCTGCATCTATAAAGTATGTTTAATTTCCACTGTGGTAGGTAACTTTTCTCTATTACTTGGGTCTGCTAATACACTAGAGCATCCTTGGACTTCATTTTGGAATGCTTGCATGCCAAATATTCAGAGTTAGCAAAATCATGACATGAATAAGTTGTTGAATAGGACCCAAAGTTAGCAATTGAACCACTGCATAGATATTGGATGAAGATGACACTAACAGTATTTGGCAACTTCAATACAGGCAGTTATTAAAGTGAAAGATAGAATAATGTGTAGACCTACCCTCCACCACGTCCTAATCTTCGTCCAGTCCTATCAAAAGCTTGTCCTACATGAATAACAATCATTATTCAATTGAATGTTCAGTGATGGATGCAGTGTATTAAGAGATTGAAGGGCTTACCAGGCAATAGAAAAAGATCAACAGGGGAAGAGGTTGACAACACTGTAAGCATTAAAAGAGGATCAGTGTAATGCATATAAATCATATTAGCTACCCAGTGATGCACTAACTTAATCAACCGAGGAAAAGTTTCATTGTATCACCTAGATAAACTTCATACCTTCTTCACGAGCATTCCCACTAGCATCAAGTGGTGATGGTTCTAGAATGTTCATTGAATTTTTAACTAAATCATCCATGGTAGTGATTTTGAGCATCCGCATATTGCGATTCTTATCTTCCACTCGAGGAACATAAAGATCCTTTGCATGTCCATGTTCTGAAACAAATCAAATTGTTAGAAGCAGGAGAAATCAAGGGGGCATATCTGTATATAGTACTCACCAGAATTTGGGGATAAAACTTCTGACAGTACTTTTGATGTATCAACTTCCCGCAATTGTGCACAGCTTATATAAGCACATAACCGCTTGCTTTCTTTGAACCAAGAAGAGTTCAAAATTGCATTTTGAATAGCCTGGTCTGGAAATATAAGAAAAAACACATCCATAAACTTCGCAAATCAACACAAACAACACCTGTTGTGTTCCAGCAACAGAAGCATAAGTAGCACTGACGTCCGCATTACACTTCAGGTCTTTGAAGAGAAAAATTAACAAAACAAAAATCTACTTCGTTGCAGTTACAGAAGATGGGGGGGGGGGGGGTGTGGAAACAACACAACCAAATATAGTTGGTCCAGCTACAGAAGCAAAGGTAGCAACCCTTTTGTCTTGGTGTCCTTCTGTGATTTTCTCATGACAGGCAGTTCGATTCAATTGTTAAACGACGCCTGCCATCAGGTTGGAATGTCCCTAATGTGATCCTTCTAATGCTAGCTACTGATGAGAGATTGAAGTGTATCGCCAAGTTAAATTTTGCTTGCCTAATGCTTATTCAGACATGATTTTATCATCCTTTTCTGTGAGCGCCAATACTAATAGCCAGCACAGTAAAAGCAGCAGCCCTTGTCGGCAAATCGACGAGCAGCTGGTGGCCAACGGCTCAATCGATTTACATCAGGGACAGCGGAATCAGATGCTTGGGCCATATGAGCGAGAAGGGGGATCACCTTCGCTGGCGCGCTGCTCGGGGGTGAGGGCCCTGAGCGCCCTCCGCACCTCGGACCGCAGCGCGCGCTTCTGGTCGGCGACCTCCTGCGCCGCCGCGGCACTCGACATGGCGGCGGCGGCGGCGGGCGCCGGCACTCGTAGCCGGAGCGAGGGGAGGAGGGCAAGGTGGTGGCGGCGGCGGGGGTAGGTGGGGGCGGATGCGGCGCGGGGCAGGTGGAGGAGGCGCACCATCAGCGAGGCCGCGCCATTTTTAATCATTGCCAGTGTGTGTGCGCCTCTGCCTTGCTGCCGTGTGTGTCTCTCACCGCGCGGTCATCTCTGCCGCCGCAGCGGGTGGAGTCGGAGTGGGCCGGGCCGAAGGTAAGGCCCAGCTACGCTCGACGAAACCTGATTAGAATGGAAAAAGTACACCGAAGGTCCCTCAACTTGTCATCGAGTTACGAAATCGTCCTTGAACTGCAAAACCATATACAACACATCCCCCAACTTACAAAACCAGTGCAAACAATATCCCACGGTAGTTTTGACTCCGGTTTTATCCTATGTGATGGCTAAATCAGCGTAGGATCTACGTGGACCCCACATGTCAGGGTGGCCATGTCATCATCTTCCCTCTTTCCTCCCTTCTCTCTATGCCTCTCTATGATTTTCGATGAATGACCCTATGGTAATGCTTTTATCTCTATTCTATGGACCAGTCAACTTCACTAATGAAAACGGATTACATCTTTCAAAATATTATTTAGTACTACCTCTATCTAAAATTCTTTATATTATTGGATAAATGGAGTATAAGATTAGGTGATAAACATGAATAGTATTTTATGTGTGACTAATTTTTATTTTTTTTATAAATTTTTTAAATAAAACGGATGGTCAAATGTTGGACACGATACCCACGACGACACTTATTTTGGGACGGAGGTAGTAATAGTAGGCTTGTTCTATTAGGGCAAGTACTATAAGCCCCTACATACTGCTCCTAAATTTGCTACATAAGATTAGATGATGAGGTGGAGGAGAGAAGTTAGGAGAGAGAGAATGAGCCACGCCTCATGTAAGGAGTAACCTCTACACAATCTCCAAGAAAAGTGCAAGATGATGTGAGAGTAGACTAATATTGGAGTTTGTGTATTATATGTGATATGTTGTATGTGTTACCTCTTAATTAATAAGAATATGACATGGTCTAAATTAGATGTGACATCCACCTCCACTATAAAACTTGCCCTAAGCTCAACGATCCCCACAACGGATCACACTCCTATGACATAAAGTCATAGGGACGTGGGTCACTGACGTGTGGGCCCAACCCTTATGGGTCCCACATGTCAGTGACAATGTCCCTCTGACTTTACATCAGAGGAGACTCATCCCACAACAACATGGACTGGGGTGTGGAAATTCCATTTGGATTACTTTACTACTAGGGCCTTGTTTAGTTCTCAACTTTTTTTTTCAAACTTCTAACTTTTCTGTCACATCAAACTTTCCTACATACACAAACTTTCAACTTTTCCGTCACATCGTTCCACTTTCTTTAAACTTTCAATTTTAGCGTGAAACTAAAAACAGGCTGTGTTTGCAACCCCTTGTTCCCAACCCCTCTCCCTCGTTTTCCGCGCACACACTTTTTAAACTGCTAAACGGTTTGTTTTTTAAAAATAAATTAATACTTAATTAATCATGCGTTAAGAGCAAGTTTAATAGTAGTATAGCTAATTACTAGCTACAATTCATCTATAGCCAATCTAATAACTCATTCATACAATAGTTACATACTACATTATTAATACCTAGTCCCACCTGTCATATACACACTGTGTCTTGGAATCCATGCTACAGCTGGCTATAAATCTGTAGCTCGCTACTTTTCTTTCTTCTTATTTATCTCTTTAAAATATATTTTGTAGCTAGTTTATAGTCTGCTATTGCACTCGCTCTGATGAACCGCTCAGTTTTGTTCGCAACGATTCATGGCGAACACACCCACAGCCTAGTTCAGAAGTTGATTGCGAAGCTTCCAGGAGAAGCCTGAGGCTAACCTCTGTTCTTTTTCTAACAGCTGGCACGAAAAAGTAAGGCGCGGTGGGGGTGGATGGCATGCATACGTCACCGGACTCCAGACTCGATGGCCCACATGCAGTGAAACAGGGGTAGGATTGTTGGGTGTAAAGGTTCTAAATCGAACTGTGCGTGGCCGTTTTGATCCGACGGTCACAATCAACTGGAAGCTAATCGGACGGCCCATACGATCGTGTGGCACAGCGCTCGAGGATACAAATCACGCCTTCAGGTCTCACGGACCACGCCTCTCCTCTTCTCTCCTCGCAAACTCCTCTGCACTACTGCTTTACCCTCTCCCAGTCTCCCCTCCCCCAACTCCGGCGATGGCCATGGCGGCACCGGCGCGCGACGACGAGGAGCCCCAGGACGGCTACTACTCCATCGTCTACGAGTTGCATGCTCCGGGGGACGACGAGTGGCTGCTCCGGCACCTGTGGAGGGAGGCGCACCCGATGGCGCAGGCAGGCGGGGAGGCCGGGGCCCCGGTTCTCGGGAGGATGATGGCGGCGATGAGGAGGTGGTGGTGGCGCGCGGATCCGCAGCTACATCTCGGGAGGGCCCGTCTGCTTCTCCGCAGGTGGAGGGCGGGCTCCGCCTCCGCGCGCCGCCTCGCGAGGTGGAGGAGGGAGGGCGGCGTCACGCCGCGGGTGCTCCTGCAGTCTGCAGAGGTGGTGGCGGCGCGTCCATCCACAGGTCGTGCTCAGGGGCTTGACGGCCTTGGGGGTCGCCACCATGGTCTTGACGTTCCTCATCCTCAAGGACATCGAAGGCTACTTCGACTTCCTCAGCATCCGTTACCCATTTGGTAAATCCATGGCTTCAAGTGTTCAACTAGGTCGTAGCTAAGCACTAATCTCTGGCTGGATCGCTAACTAATTAGCTACAATCTGTGTGCAGCGCTGCCATCTTTCTTCCTCCGCTACGAGCGGGTGATGCACGACTTCGTTGTGGCGGGCGGGATCACCGTACTCACCCCGTTCATCTGGGGCGCCCTCGTCGCCATCATGGTTGGTCTGGGCGCTGACATGGGCCCGCTTCTGGAGTTAGATGTTCTTGGTATTACCGATCGATTTTGCTATATCTCACTCGAAAGATTTTTCCTTATCTCTCACTCGATTTTCTCACTCAAATTTACAGTGCATTTTCTTGTAAGTTACAGTGTAATTTATGAAACTTACACTGTAACTTTTGTAAGTTACACTGTAATTTTTGAATCTTCGCATGTAAATTTTAAATTTTGTATTGGATTTGGTCTTTTTCTTGAGGATATGGTAATTTAGTGTCCATTACGGTGTTTCTTAATTGCTTTTTCTTTTTATTATATCTATCGGATTTTAATCCAAAGATTAAAAATCTGTGGGATACGATCATAAAAATCTTTCGAAAGATGTATAGGTACTCCCATTACCGATGGTCTGCAGCTAGATGGCCGCCCTGTGGTGCCGGAGCCGGAGCAGCAAGTCCATCAGCCGGATCCGGATGAGCCCGAGCACGTGTACCGCGTCGTCCTGCACGGCGAGGAGTTCACGTTCCTCACCAACATTCCGAGAGCCAAGTTCTATCTCCTGATAGCTGCTGTTTTTGTCGTCGTTTTCTTGTTCCACCCCTTCAGCGCTGAGACCTGAGAGCGGTATGATCCTAATTTCTTATTACTATACATTGAATTCGTGTTACTCTGTTGCATTTCAATTTCGTCGCCGACTTCAAAGCATGTGCCTGTGTATTGTTCGATTGCTTGTACAGATTTGTTGGTTGGCGATGAGTGATAGTGCTTCCAATTTTAGATGCTCTGATGTTCAGTTATGCTGTGATTGCATGGTTAGCAAGCAGTCCATATGTCATTTGATCAACTGTTGCTTTCTTTCAGGAGTACAGTAACCACACCAATTTTTTGTGAAATTTGATTTCGTTCCTAGACATGCCATTTCGATTGTAAAGCTATGTTAAGAATGCAAGTGTTCCTTACCAATATTGTGTGCAACTGCACTAATTTGCTGTGCATGCTTGTTCAGTAGTCAGGTTTTAAGCCACCTCTTGCTTTTTTTTAAGCCCTTGAAGTTACAATGCATTTCTTTTGTTATGGTTAGCTATATGACCATTGGTCACTGCTGCATGTTAACTTGTTAAATTGCTAGTGTCCCTACCAAATATACCAACTGCATCATCGAGTGCTGTTGTGATTCTAATCCCTGTGCAGCTGTGCAATGATATGTTGGGGCATGCTTGTACAACCATATAGGTTCCTGTGGCTTATAATTTCATTTCTTGTTGTGATGCTTATCTGTGCAGTTATAACCCATAGCTTAGTGATTCGATTTCTGGATCAATATCCACTGCAGTTATAGTACATTTCTTTTGTTATGGTTAGCTATATGAACATTGGTCACTGCTATACTAGTTGCAACTGTGCCTACCAGAATTTCTTTTGTGTTGTAGTGATTTTAAGTCCTCTGTGCAATTATACTGATCTGTTGGGCATCCTTTTGTGCAACAATATAATACAAGTCCCTGTGGCTTAATGGTTTTGTTTCTAGTTCAATGCCCATCAGCCCATTACCATTAGTGTGCGTCTTTAATTTTGATCTATTTTGTGGCTTCTGTGATTTTAAACCCATGCCTAACTGAACAATTGATGTGATTATCAGTTTGTTCATGTCTCAGGGGCGGGCGCTTCTAACAAAGTTGGGGCTCTCTCAAATCGGCGTCATGTCTTTGGTTTCGGTTTCAATCTTTAGAGTACTTCTCCTCGGCTACGGTTGTGTTACTTTGGCTAGCTGTTCGCATGTTCTGATACGCTAACGTTCTGGTCTTTTACTCTTTTGCAACAACCCTTGATGGAACATTACATAGGAAGTAGCTGCTGGAGTAGTATTAAGAGGCACTTAGTACCATCTGAGATCTGAGACCACCTTAGTTGGAACACTATTAGGAAGTACCTGTCGTAGTTATTACACTATTACTCCTAGTACCATCTGATAACTGCGATATGTGACTTTACCTGTTTTGATGCTTGTCAAAACTAGTAGTAGTACTCTATCATATATGTGCTGAGATGAACCATTGCACCATATATGGTGCAAGCTAAACAGAACATTGGAGTGCAGTCTGCTTTTTCTTATGCATTTTTGTCAAGCTGAAATGATGCATGTTCTCCCAGTTGTCCACACCGCTCAATGTACTTGCTGTTGTCGCTTGTGTAATCAGATATTACCATGTTCTCCCTTGAAATTAAGGAATTAGTCGGCCATATCATTTATGTTGGTTCAAATGTTGAGAGGGATTGAAGCGGTAACACTTTGTTTGGTTTTGTCACTATCCACAAACTAATCGGGGGCTCGGGGCATGTTTGGTTTGTACTATATGTTGTGTTACAAAATCTGTTATTCTTTAGGGGAAAATTCTATTGAATTGCTCTGTGGTGTTTAGTACACGAACTATGTTTATACCGGTCCAAGCTCTAGGTGGGCCTATGAAAAACCTGGTTTGTTTTGGGCTAAAATCCGTGTCTGAAGTAACCAGGAATAAAGGTGTCGCGTACAAATGCTGTACTAAAGTAGAGAAAACTAAATCATTTCTTTAAAAAAACACAGTATAAATCGTTCCCAAACGCCCGTGTGTTTATCCTATAAACATATACTCTATCCCTATGAGCACCTCTAGAATATTGGACTGTTATATTTTGAGATTGATGAAGTTGCTGCAAGCGTCTCATTTGGACTCATTTGGATATGTTTGGGCAGATCCTAGTTTATTTTTCTCTGTTTTAGGGTGGGTATTAAGCCTTACATAGGATATGTTGAAAAGAAAAGAAGAATAACAAACGAAAAATAGTTCAGAAAACGGGTCATCGTTGCGATCGAACTCATGACCCCTTTTCGCATGTATAAAGGTACGATCATACGATAAATTCGTATGTTATATATCACATTAAAATATTAGTACTGATAAATTCTACAGGTCTTTTAAATACTCATGAAAAATCTACAGTTAGACTTAAATCCTATTGCCCTACAAACGAAGCAAAAGGTACCACAAATATCGGGTCTCCGCTCGGTAAAAAGATATTTAAACACGATTTCCTCGGTTCACAATTATAAGACCAATAAAGAATATATTAGAACGGAAATATTTTGGAATTTTATTACAAGACAAGTTCATCCACGCTATCTTTAAAAGTTTAATCGAGAAATTAGAAGATACATTGATAGTCAAAGTTTAAACACCTTAATAGTTCGCGAAACGATACTTTTTAAGAGGAAGTATATATGGGATCCGGCTAACAAAGAACTACTCCCTCATTCCTATTCAAATTCGTGGTACTAAAAATGTTACACCCGATCAAAATTATTATAATATGCAAAAAAAAAATATTAAAAAAATATTTGATCTAACCATGCAACTAATAGGTGTGACATAACATAGTAAATGCATATTTGATCAAACCTTATAATCTGATAGTATGTTTTTACAAACTAATGATTAAGTTTTTATTTCGACGATACAGTACTTGAAAAAACAAAACAAGTAGATGGCTTGCCACAGAAGCAAACAACCGAAATTTTCATTTGTAGTAATATTCTTTTCCAAAATTAATTAAATAGTAATTCTAAATAGGGATTTTGAGAAATAGGAAGGACGCCAGTTAGAAGAGCGTCCACATGCGGACGCTTGGGAGGATAGCGTCCAGTTCGGGACGTAGTTTGTAACAGCGTCCAGCTGTTTGGGCCAAACACAGCATGGGCCTGCGTCCATGTGCATGGGAGCACACAGTAAACACTTATATAAACCAAATCTTTGAACATCCACGTGGTGTTTACTGTTTAGCTTATAGTCCATATAATTTGTTTAGAACAATCTTATACTAACAGATATTGAACAAATTTAGTACTTCCTCTGTTTCACAATTTAAGTCATTCTAGCATTTTCCACATTTATATTGATGCTAATAAATCTAGATAGATTTATATGTCTAGATTCATTAGCATCAATATGAATGTAGAAAATACTAGAATGACTTACATTGTGAAACGGAGGGAGTAGTTAATTTCAGTAGTATGCATATTGGCTTCGGTCCTTTAATAACGCAGTAGTCTAATAAATCCATGGATAGTTTGTAGCCGTTTTCAACCAATAGATAATGTCAACGAGCTAGCTATCAAGAAATTCCACCAGCAACACCACATGACAACAATAGTATAAATAAAAAACCCAGGGTTTTTCCTCAATTGCATTAGCATGCATTTCATTGAATTGTGGTGGATTATCTTTTTTTTTCGAACGGTCAGGCCGTTGCCGACGTTTTATATAAAGAAGAAGGTGTCTCATTTTAAGGAGAAAATGAGACCAAACCTTACAATGCATGGTTAATTAGGGAAACTGGGTGAAAACCTCAACACTCAAACCTAAGCTACCAACACCGCGAAAAAAGAAAAAATGGCGGAGCCCAAAACAGCCATCGATAAAGAGCTTGTTGAAAGCGACACAAAGGCTTCGACTTCGCGAGGCAAGTGTTATCGTTGCCGAGCTTGTCGCCTAGCGACACAACAGCTTCGACTCCAGAGCTATCACATCATCGTTGCCAAAGGCATCGAAGAAAACGAGCAAGACACCGAATGTCCACTTTGAACATCAGCCCAAGCCACTTGAGCACTACTACTTGTAGATAGCTAACACCAACCTCCCTCGAAAACTGCAACGTGTTATCGTTGCCAAGCTTCATCGCATCCCAATAAAGCAGCTTCGACTTCACCTTGAAGAAAACGAAGAAAGTTGGATGCTTGCCACATCCAAGAGCAGCACCCAGGAGACGAAGGCCTCGCCGAATAGCTAGGCTTATAGAGCTTTGACATGGGGGTCCATTGTAAAATCAAAGGTGTTTTTGATTATTATTCTGTGATGAACAATTGGCATCGGAGGTTATTGGTTTTGTTATTTGGAATTTATTCACGAAGTGGTTTTGGAGATGATTGGATTTTACAGGTGAATGGCTCCTGGCTCTCCTCAAGCTAAATACCTGCCAAACTCTTTTTTTTTACCAAACTCTTAATTACAGTACAAAGTAGCACACAAGAGTTAAGGATGTGTTTGGTTGGGCGGACGCGCGCGGCGGTGGATGCGAGCGGTGGCGGCGGCGGACGCACTGCGGCGTGCGGCGGCAGATGCGGGCGGTGGGGTGAGGAGGAGCGGCGGCGGATGCGCGCGGCGGCGGCGGCAAACGCAGGCGGCGGGGTGAGGAGGAGCGGCGGCGACGACGAAGTGGGGAGGAGAAGGAGCGACGCCCGTGGGAGAAAAAAGAAGCGCGAACCGTTTTTTGTGTAATGGCAGAGGTGGGTAATTTTTCCCCCAAAAGCAGGGGGTAGAGGTGATTTTGATTTGTACTACCTTAAAAGCTGGCTTTGGGCAAAAGCAGCTGTAGCTTTTGGGCGCTTTGGTTGGCTTTTGGCTTTTTCAAAACCAAAAGCAGGTTGAAAAGCCCAACCAAACACACCCTAAGGGTGCATTACGAATTGATTCTCGGATTGGCTACTCCCTCACCTATCATAAGCACATTATCCGAACTGCTAAAGGATATATTTTTTCAAAATAGCATTTTATATAAAATTACTTAAAAATTAAATAAATCTATTTTGTTTGTACTAGTTAAGTTTCGGGTGTCATTGAAAATATGATCCGAAAACTCCAGGATTTTTGACTCTGCGCTCTCTTTTATCTCAATGATTCTGGAGTTCATTCTCTTAGAGGGTCATCTGTGGTCTTTAGCTAGGGTTGCCACTTTTGGGAATTTCTTGGGAGCGTAGCGTGGCTCTGCCCCTTTCTATTGTTATGAGTTGCGTTTAGCCGCCTGTTAACGCCAAAATTTGGTAAGCCCGAAGTCATCATCGGTTTAGAGTCAGTATCGACTTTAGAGTACTGAAATCAGCCGATGGGAGTCGTCAAGTCGCCAGCAGTCGTGTTCTTGATGGAGTCGGATCAATTAAAGGAAGCTTATTTAAGAAGAGTCCGAGTTCAAGGAGGATGCGGCATGGCAAGTTATCTATTAATTAGGAATAGTTTATTAGTTTTCTTTTATCTTTAAGAAAGTGTGTTTAGTGTCCGATAAGGACTTTATGTTTTCCTTTTATCTTTAGGAAAGTTTTTTTTATTGTCCTGCAAGGACTAGTATCTACCCATGGGTATAAATATGTACACCCGGGGTTATTGTAATAAATCTCTCGATCAATACTACTCTCAGCGCATCGCCACCCTCTTTACCGAGGTTTTTACTTATCTTCCAGCGGAATATGGCACCTGACGCGGGGCTGCATCGGTTCAGTTCGATCTCCGGTGAAGGGGTAAGTCCTACGTTCCACTGGCCCTGGTGAATCTATCGGCTACATTAGTGTTGTTCAAGGCTGCATTGCTTCGATCTCTTAGATCGCTCTGGTTTGGTTGATATATTTGTCTACCTAATATCTCAATTCTATTTCTAGTTGCATTGTGTTTAGAGACGCATCGACTTAGTTGTGACTGTCTCGGTTAGGTCCGATCTTCTGTCTTAGCCGATATATCTCTACAATCACAATGTTGTTGTAAATAGATTTGTTATATCCATCACATTAGACAAATCTATTGGCTCATCGAGTATTAGATTATTATATACAATTTCGTGCTGCATCGGTTAGGTTCGACCTACTAGATTGTTGTTGATAATATAAATCTTGTTAAGCCGATAGGTTCATACTAGTGTTTTATCGGAGTGCTAGCCGATAAGTTATCCGGACGTTGCATCGGTTTATAAGGATCGCATGTACATATAATATATAAGTTGGATTTAGCCGATGACAACAAAGGTTTCATTGATCTATCTAATCTTGTGGATTTAATAACATCGGACCTCCAGCCGATGTATGCTTTAACCTTCGGATCGATGCTCATCTATAGTATATCACATTGTTAGCCGATTGGTTTCTACCGGATTATATTATTGTTATATTGCATCATCATCAGCCGACTGTCTTTATATTATTGGACATATTGCTGATAGCTCAAAACCCTATCTCTATCGGCTGACATCGGCATCGGCTGGAATTACTCCATCGGCTTGTCAGCCGATCGGTTGTTTGATCTGTTGTTTACATA